GAGAGGCAGAGCCCCTGCGCGCCCGCAGCTTCGCAGGCTGGATTCTCAAGGCAGAGTGCTGCAGTCAGCATATCCAGGGCCCCCTTGCCCTGCTTGCGTTGCCCCTGCCGCACAAGACCAGTCTAGGTATGGCATCTTGTGTTGTGCGCGTGCTTAGCATGTCAGTAAGTACTCATTTGACATGTGCTTAGGGGTAGCCATGTAACCACTGTTCCAAATAAAAGCCTTCTGGAAGGAGCCTTTGATGCTGTCTTTCTGCATACAGTTTCTCAGGCTGTTGTGTGCCACAGAGGGCAAAAAGTAGCTCGAAAGCCATGCTTTTTGCAGAGGGAGTGTATTCTTGCGAGACTGCTCACCTGTTTTTCCATTATGTCTAGGTATGGTCCTAAAATGCCTCTTGCAGTGGATTGTACCGCTGAACTGATTCGTTGCAAGGTCCTGGATTCATCTGGCAGATTGAAGTCGCATGAACTCATCCTCTCTTACGGGCTGGCCCTTGTAAGGTAGGGCTCTGAAGGCCTGTGTGCTGTGAGAGAGAGAGAGACCTGGACAGACAGCATCGTTCAGCTGTCTAATGTCACTTTGCATCCCGGGGACCACAGTGTGGTTCAGCATGCGGGGGTTCCATGTTTCTTTGCAGCACCTGATAGTCATTTATCTTTTCTGTAACCTGCACGCAGGTTTGTCAACTTGATCACAGAAAGAAAACAGAAAATGGTCAGCATTCCTCTGAGACAATTAGCCAGAGAGGTAAATATTTAACAAGAGTTACTCGATAACTTATGTATGTGCAGAGAGCATATGCATTGTCTATTAACAACGCTGGGTGGAGGGAGTTGTGGGGGGTCATTCTTTTGTAACTAAAACAATGTGTATAGGAGCCAGTTCTTTCCAACTGCAATGTTTTAAAGAGGCTTTGATGTAACTAGATGTAAAACTTTGTTCTTACTCTTTTGATTCAGAGTAACAAAGGCTGATGATCATTATAGCATTTTGAATCATGTGATTAAAAGTCTTGATTTACATGTAAGTCAGTCCCACTTGACATACACACCACACATTTTTGTTTCTTGGCTGCTGAGGTGTGGAAAAAGAGCTAAATCTATGGTTTATAAATCTTAGTCTTTGACAAGCAAGGTTATACGTAACCTTGCAGGCATTTTCATCTCGTGTCTCTCGCTTGAGGTGAGCTTGTCCACTTCTGTGTGGAGCAGGGAAGGTTCAAGGTGTAACTGTGGTAGCAAGACCCATTTGAGCCCTTTTATTGCCAGCTGTGCTAAGCACCATATCTGGGTCTGAACAGCAAGTTTTGAAAGTGAAGAGATATATATTTGAGATACAGTATCTGCTATGTATGCAGCCTTGTCTGGGGCCCCTCTGTGAGAATGATGAATTACTTTTTTTTTTTTTTTTTTTTTTTTTTTTTTTTTTTTTTTTTTTTTTTTTTTTTTTTTTTTTTTTTTTTTTTTTTTTTTGTGAGTTTTTAAGAATGGTGCTGCCTCTCATCTTTTAAAACTGATCAAGCTTAAAAATAGAGGTCTTGCATAGTTAAAGTTAGTTGTCCTTAGGAAAGTTGCAAAAACTTGCGTGCAACTTAGAGCATGTATGATGTGGGTATTATATATGGTATGATTTGTATCTTTGATGCATAAGCTGTCATCCAGAATGTTTCACCAGTTTAAATAAAATCTAACTGCTTCTCAGTATCTCATTAAACTATACACAGCACCTCTGTCTAGAAAGACATCTGTTGTTGCAAGTAACATTGAAGAACTTGAACTGTAAAATCCCAACTTTGTATGGATCCTAGGCAATAGGAGGAGTGGGATCAGAGAGGAGGGGACCTCAGCCCATCCTTGAAGCGGGAAGCTGGGGGACTGTGGTGCGGGAGTGGCCCGGAAGAGGCCATTCCAGCCAGGTAGAGGTTCTCTACAGCCTTGTAGGGCTGCAGACAGTTGTGGTATGATGCAGTGGGAACTGTGGGGTAACACCTGTGGCTGTTCTTCCAGGTGAATATCCCCATCTGGGTCGTGGATCTCCGTCATGAGCTGACCCATGGGAAGCTGCCACGGCTGGCTCTGTGCCGCAAAGGTGAGTGCTGCCAGCAGGCAGCATGGGGAAGGCCTGGCCTGAGGTGCGCTTGGGGTGGCAAGGCCAGTGCTACAGGCCCTGAGGGGAGCACCCCTCCCTCCATTTTGGGGTGCTGCAGGGCAGGCAGTGGGCTTATACTGTCAGGGAGAGTTGTGGTGCGAGATACTGGGAAGGTTTGCTGCTGCTCTGTGGGGGTACCTGAACTGTGTCCAGTGGCTCCAGGCTGTGGTGTATCACAGACAGAGGCATTCTCCTTCCCTTGCAAAAAATACTGGAAACAATAGTTTGGCCCTCTTGCTTCTTTACAGCACAGGAATTTCATCTCAGGGAATACTTTTCCTGATGGTTTAGACATACCTGAGACTCTTAAAAAAATCCCATTTAGGGAGAAGTGCAGTAGGTACTGGAAGCCTGAATGAATGACCAGCTCATGGAATTTCAACGGATTCCTGGGAATTTTGAGTTAAGCACTGAGGAGCCAGTTAAATAACCTTCAGCAGGGTCCTTAGATGGAGTGGGGTAGTGAACTAAGTGATGGGGAAAAAAGGGGTTTTCTTTCCATTCTATCTAATGTATGCCTAGTGTAGTCTCTGCACAAAAAAATAATGTTATTCCTATAGACACTATGATACTAAAGGATTGACTCATTTTCTCATCAGAACACTGCCGCTGGGAATTAGTTTCTGCTTAAATTTGGCCTAGCTTGAGCAAAGTGCAGTGCTATAGCAGTGTCTGGTATTTTTTTTGTTGCCAAAAACACAGTAGGAGGGTGTTGTCAGGCCTGTGATACTGGGTTTTTCCGGTGTGTTTTTTAAAACGTATTCACCTTTTCATTAATGGAGTTGTATGTGATTTCAGCATTCATAACTTAATAGCATTTCTTTTCACAATGCAAGCAATTGGCAATATGGCACCTGTGGGTTTTTTTTTTTAATAACAGAGAAAGCATCACTGAGAAGAGAATGTTTTCTCTTCTCCCTTAGGTTGTGATGTTGTGCTGGACTGGCTACGGAAGACATATTGGAGCCGTCAGCTGGGCAATAACTTGTGTGAAGAAAGTGAGGACGAGGAAGAAGAGCAGGAAGGGGTGGAAGCAAATGCAGAGTTGGACAATGATGTGTGGGAGATTCAAAACCCACAGCATGAGGCCTGTCAGAAACACAAGGAATTCCATGGTAGGTGTCCCTAGAACAATGGCAGATACAAGGATTAGATGTGTCCCATGTTAGAGAAAGCAGTTTAAAAGTGTCATCTTCTAGCCCCAACAATGCATAAAGATAGACCTTCAGCTCAGGTTTTGGGATTCCTCTTTGGGTCTTGGTGGATTCTTGGGGTGACTGACGTTTTTTGGTATTGGCTCACTGAATTTGTAGCATAAAATCTTTTACTTCTACTGAGTATGTCGTATTCTAATCAGTAGCAACTGTTATATGGGGATGGTTTAAGATCAAGCGTTGTAAAAATTAGTCTTGACAGCCACAGTTTTGGTGTTGAGGCCACTGCTGACAAAGATGCTATGATCCTTTTGTAGCACTCCAAACTCTGTAGATTCATAACTTAACGAAGAGCAGGATAAAGGCAGTCCAGCCAGTTTCAAAATACTTCACATTTGGACAGAAAAATCATTAGCTGACAATAGTATTTAAAAAAAAAATCATGGGTAACTCAACCTGGACATAATCTCAGATATAAAGTGCAAAACAATGTGAAAACTTTGGTAAACTGTGGTTGCTCTTCCACCACTGTAAGTCTTTGAACCGAAAATGAAGAGCTTTTCTCAAAATGGATTTCTAGTTTGAGTGACTGACTGGAGAAAGCAGGACTTCAGATTAGATGGCTGGTCTGCAAGTACAAACAGTACCTCAAACAGTAAAACCAATCAGTCATTATTTTTTCTGATGAAACATGGCATGTTTATGGGGAGTAATTCACCCAACAGATTACAGCAGCCCAATCCAAGGTCCAGAGAGTGTGCAGAAATGCTGGAGTGACCCTTACTGCTCCCTGGAGGGTCACACTAGGTTACTATAATGATCTTTCTGGCTTTAGGATCTATGGATTTGTTGCAAGTTTTTTGTAGATTCCTTTATAACAGACTTGTACATAGATACAGTAGCTGTGATCCAGAAAATATTAGCTAATCTGTTGTGCACTTTGAGTTTAATACAGAATTTATTAGAATAATCCAAACCTAGAGGCAGTACTAAACTTTGGAATGCAGCAGCATTTACCACTTTTCTTGTCCGAGTATGTGTCTGGGCTTCTGTCTGACTTCACGTTGGATGAGATCCAAGTGTGTGCTATTCCTTCCTCCCTTTGGCTATCCTAAAAGAAAAGAACACCCCACCCCCAGCTGCTGAAAGAGAGAATTACAGAATGATAACAGTAGATTCTGTGATTTATGTGTCCAGAGTAATGGAATGGCTATGGTATATCAGTCCTACAGTTCAAGTGCATCAAAGTTTTATCTAGCTGATACGGGGTGGTGGGCATCCTGATAGCAGGTGACAATGATGCCTGAATGGTGGAGTATTTCAGGTACAGTAGAAGTGTTCCACAGATAGAGAAAGGACGTTTCATGTAGTTGGTAAACTAAAGTTTAATAAAGCCCAATAAGGATATGATTGGCTTGTGAATAGCCTCAGTGCTGTTGCAATAGATTTAAAATGCAAGTGCAAGAAACGTAAATAGGCATCAGAACATGATGACATGTTCTTCCTACAGAAATAATTTCTTCCTAAACTGATCTCTCTAGGGACTTTTTTGGAGCTGTCTAGATATATGCAACTTGGCTGTCTTTGGCCACTGTTATTGATAAAATGCTGAACCCCTGGTTCAACCCCACCTGGTAAAATTTATGTTGCTGAAGTCTGGAAACTGCGGGAGTCTTCAGCGTGTTGTCTGAGTCGGAATTTATTACTTACTTTGACTGATGTCTTCCTTGAGTGTATATTCAGCAGAACTAAGCAGCTTGCCCATATACAAAATTCCCTGTTTAAACTATATATTTATGTTTATTTCTAGAAAAAGTCAGAGATGTGCTGTTATCCTACAAGAACGAGCAGTTTCGGGTAAGTGCAGTCTGATCATCAGCATTTTTGGTTCTTTTCATTTCTTGCTTGGGGCAATAAGTCTTCTCTTCATTCTCACCCAAACTGAAGAACTGGTGCTCTTGGCCAGGCCTCATTTGAAATACCTGAGTGCTAGCATGACTAACTTGCTGTGCCAGGAGTTTATTTCATAGAACTGTAAGGATTCCTTTCTTTCTCCCTCTAGCGTCCTCCCACAATTAGAATCTGTCCAGAAGTGTCAGTGACACAGGAGGGGTGCTTGTATTCGTGCTGCAGAGGTGGCAGTACGCCAGTGTCCACAGTGCTATCTACCAACGTGCATAATATGACTGGCAGAACCTTGTCCTGAGTAGGCAACCTCATCCCCACCCCACATGTGGAGTTAATGATTCAAAGTGAGTCTGTCCTGGTTTGTGCTGAAGTCAGGGAGAGCAAGGTTTAGAACCAGAATGAGGATGCTGGGACTGTGACTCCTTGGTGCTGCTGCCTTTTTCATTCAGGCCTTTTCCAAGTATGACATGACTTATATTAATTTTTAATATACCTGTAGGAAGGGGAAGTTCTGTGAGTTTTTTGAAGTGCTGTTGATGAAGTACATATGGCATGTGCATCTTTTCTTCATAGCAGTGTCTTTCTGTTTGCCATTGGAGTGTATTTTCTGTTAATGCTTGGATTTTTCCTTCACTCAGGTTATGCAGACTGTGCAGTCTGTTTTGAAGTCTCGGGAACTGTGGTCTGATTCCTCTTCAGAAGTGGATTGGATTTTGGCTCAGATCAAAGACCTGATGCAAGAGAACAGGTACATCTCTGATGAGAAACTGAGGTGAAAGGTACAGTGCAGAGCTGGGCCTGTAGACCTGTTGCACTACCTTTTCACCGTGTTGTTCAGCTGATCATGGAGAAAGCAGTTGGTTTATTTCCTCAACATCTTTGAGGACTGACTTGTTAATCTGTCTAATGAGTGATGTTTCCTGTGCCAGATGGTCTCCAAGGTGTTGTCCCTGACTTAGCTGTGCTGGCCTCAACATGTCAGCATCTTCAGTGTCTTCAAAAGCTCTCCCAACAACCTTGTGTAGACTTCAGTTTCACAGTAACCTTTAGAATTCTTCAAAATTGCAGGGCCATACTTGGCCTCTTCTATACTTTCTATCTTTCTATTACTACAGGGCCTCTAGGACCCAGTGTGCTGAGACTTTATTATTACTATATAAATTTGCATGAAGATCTTGTCCCACTCTGAGAAACAAAATCAGTGTAACTCTGTGGAGGGGAGAGAGTATCATGTAACAGATACGAGCTATAACTCCTGATGTTTTGAATGTAAATATATATGCTGTACAAGCTGCTGATTGGTTTAAGAGGTTATCAGATGTTATGCCAGAAGACAACCCTGAGGATGAGACTTGCACCTCAGTGGCATTGCCCATCAGGTGCTGTGCATGGAGTAATGAGCAAGAAGGTATGAAGATTCTGTAATGAGAAACATAACTCGATAAACATGGGACTTCTATATCGCTTAAACTGTCTGTTGCCCGGTGGTTGGAAGGTACTGGTGGAAGCAAGCCATGGCGCCTACCTCAGATTTTGATACTTTCTCCCTAAGTATCCTCTGTTAGCCACTATGAGAACACAAGTGGACCAAGCACAGCTGGTTTTTTGTATAAATAAGTATTTGAACCTGGCACCAGCTACATGGTGGAGGGGAAACAGGCTGCCACAGTACAAAACAAGGATTTTGAAAGGTTTGAGTGAGAACAAGAGACTTCATCTAATGTAAAATGGGTTTTGCGGGAAATGTTCAGGCAAGAGTTGTAATGCGTTGGTAGCAGGTAAAAGATCATAGGAAGTCCCTTTCCATATAGGAAAACTGAAGTACGGAAGATGTAAAGGTAATCATGTATTTGGGGTCTTTCCAGTGCTGCCTCGCTGACGTGCTCTCCTATTAGGTTATGCCTGTGCAAAACTTAGTTTTCACAACAGTGCTGTCCTGTAAGTGTATGATCGAAGAAAGTACTTAGTTTGGAAGATACTGTGCTTTTGATTCACTTGCTGTGCACTGATTCTGCAAAACACGCTTGTGGTATCCCTTGAAAGTGTGTTAAATCACATTCTAGCAGTTCTTTGTCATCATCTTTGTATGAACCACCTGTTGCGTCAGCTCTTGCTGTTTGTCCCATGCAGCTGCACAAAGTGCATTCAACACCGATCGTGCGGATTTCCAAAAGAATCAAGAATCTACTTCAATCGAATTAAATATTCCCCCAGAATTCTCAAACCTAGAACTTAGATGATAGTGACTGTATCTGTGGCCTTTGAGGTACCACTGCTTCAAAGTTGTTGTCCTCATCAGGCTGAGAAATACCATGTGCTAGGGGGTGCTAAATCCCAGTAAGAACCAAGTTGAGCTGGCTGAGTGTGATGAACCGTCGCGCAACTCACAAGTACATTCTTCTTGTGTCCTGCAGTGCTGCAACTGTTTACTCTTTCGGTCACATGGAGTCTGCCATGTATCACAAATGCAGCTGGGCTAGTATTTCCCCAGTGGCCTCTATGAGAATCTAGTTTCCTGAAGGACTGGGTAATGGTGCTTCCCTTCTCAGCTGAAGACGGGATTGTTCCTGCAATCTCCTGTGTATTTCTGAAGATGCTTAGTTTAAGGACTCAGCTTCTTGCTTTCATTTAAGAGAATTTTTTTTATTCACTCACAGAAAATAGACAGTGTGGCAGGGAGGAAGGCTGGTGTGGAATGCATTGACAAGGTTGTGACTTCATTAGGTTTGGAAACTTGCATTATGGACTCAGGGATAAGAGAATTTATGAGTTCTCTTGAATATGTCAAGTGACCTATGAAAGTGCTTTTTTTAATTTAGAATGCCTGTGTAATTCTGAGTAAAGCCTTTCATGTCCCCTATCAACATACCCTGTAATTTGGATTGTGCAGAGGGCAGACGATTCCTTTAGACCTAAAGCAAAATGAGCTAACTGCAGAGGATCCTCTGCTGTCTGCTTCAGAGAAGTGACCCAGTGGGCCTTTCTTAGTCAGATGTTCTTCTGCTTAAAAGGTTCTCTATTGAAGCTGCTATCTGCATGGAGATGTCCTTAATAGTTGGTGATGACCAGACATTGCATGTAGGAATAATAGTAATTAAGCTGGGACAGTTGCCAGAGAAGACAAGGACTGAAACTGGATTTTGTTTTTAGAAACAAATTACATTGTACCACTTGCCTTTTGATCTTTCACCACTTCATCTACTTATGACAAAGTGATCTAGTGTTTGTATGTGTTGTTTCTGCATTCTGAGATCTTCAGCTGCTGTTTGCTTTTATAAAAATCCTGTATTGGATCTAATCAATCCAGTCACATCTGGATGTTTAGATTTGGAAGTCACCCCTATTTGGAGAACACAAATTTTCTCATCCATTGTATACCAAAATATGCTGTGTTTGACATGGGTACTACCATTCCAAATCCAATGAGTCTGATAGCAAAAGCAGTTGTTTCTGTGGAGTTTATGCAGTGTTTGAAAATGGCCACCTTGATTTTTATTCTGAGAAGTGTTTATTTTAGTGCTGTATCTTTGCACGGATAGAGAAGCTCACGGATAGAAGCATGAACAGAAGAACTCAAGAGAATCCCATGGCTGAATATTGGGGTAGTTGTGAGACTTTTACTTCTGTCCCTTTTGCTGTATTTTACTTTCAATTGTGAGTTCAGCCCACCTGCATTAAGCCAGCCTAATAAGTGGTCCTTGATCAGTGCTGTCAGACTAACTGAAGTTCTCAGGGTAGCTATAAAGGCAGGAGACATCCAAAAAAGAGCTGTAGGTGCTGTAGGGAAGAGCAGTTGTGACCCTACTGCAACTT